CGAAGGTAGGTGGGCGAGCGTAGCACGCAAAGTGATTGCATGTAAAAGTCATCTATTGATTCCAAATAAAGTATAGAAATATTCGAAACACAGATACACGAATGAGTATGAATAGTTAGGCGTAGAAGAATTTATAAGTGGAGAGTTTGCTGTTTACTAATAAATAGAATGTGTAAGTTACATGAGAAAGTCTTTTATCTTTTAATAATTGTAATACGTTGATAATGATATAGTAATGTCTTTAAATTTTTCTAATGTGTTCAGAGTTTTGTATTATACCTATCTATGCTTGTCATAAATTAATTATTGAAAAGTAAGCATAGTTCAGGTTTTAGCAATTTGGGGTTTAGCATGGTTAACGGTTAAGTAAAATTAGCTTATGTTAAGATTATGTCAAGGTTATATCAAGGTTAAGGATTAGGTAAAATTAGTTTATGATAAGATTATTTTATAGTCATGGCAAGGTTATTAAATAAACTAGAGGTTATAGCTTATGTTACGTTAAGGTTATAGGCTAGATTGTATATAAATATGCATAATTGATTTTCAGCCGAGTATTCATTCATGTTTCTTCAAACACTCCAACAATGGATCCGAACCGAACGTCTTTGTTCCTTGAACAGACGCTGTCAGAATGATTCTTGACGCTTATTCGAACCTTAATTTTTCGTCGAAGTCATCAAGCCCTCTCATCAGTGTTCGATTGTTTCGTAACAGTAATCCCGTTTCCGAGAACGGAATTGTTCTTTCTTCCGTCTGTTGAGCAGAGCTTACAATAACAGAAGGACAATACTAAATACCTTGATCTGCAATTACAATGGGCTACTTAGCGTCCTATAAATCACAAAGTGGCGCTCGCACTCGTTGAATTAAAGGAATCATTCTTTCCGCGCCGTACGGAATAAGAAAACTTTCGCGACGTTCCGTCCGAACTCGTCCCTACCTGTCCTGGAAGTCGCCGCGGAAAGGACAGCCGGAATTGGTGGCTATTTAATTAGCTACTCCGAAAGACGAGCTTCAAAACCCCTCCCTCGTTTATGCCCGCCGATTTCTTCGGCGGAATAATATGCGAGACCGGTTCAATAATTAGTTTTCGGTGATACTGGCTCCGCGAGCGTCGGAATTGTCGCATAATTATTTCGGATGGAACCGCTTTGACAAATCCTTTCGAATGGTATTTGCAAACGAGACCACTAGCGGCTAAAACGAGAACACGTTTCATTAATGATTTGATTACGAAGACTGGTATACCGAGTCACGAGAATTCTCAGTTTTTTGATACCGCAAATTGTTATTAACATTTACTACATTGGGTTGTTCGGACAGTAATCACGCTTTTTTCCTTTATCGACCGACTTCGCCAGTTTTTTAATCAGCCAACTTTATTCTAATTCGTGTTCTCTTTCCTTTCACAGGAAAAGCTGAAAAGAAACTTATTTGTACAAAATTCTGTTCGGTTCCGTGCAATTGTTTTCCTTTAGCTGCCCCATCGAATATGAAAACATTCTTTTATTTATTTTGCTTTTTTATTGCCGGAAAGCATGGAGAAGATGCGTCGACATTATTTTTGGTACAAAAAAGCGACAATTTTCGATATTCGTAAGTATCGACGAACATTTTAATATGCTCTGAGCCAACAACAATGGAAACATTGAAAACATAAAATTGAAAAAATCTACGATATGATAAAATATTTACAAATTCTCACGACACGCTACATTTTCATAATTCCAGTGCAAATGTTCCACGGAAATTAACAAGTAAAAATCCATGTAAATTATTTCACATAATAAATAACCGAAAGACCAAGGTATTCAGTCCCAAAACTTGGATCCCAATTTAATTTCCACGAATCTGATGAGTGGATTTTCTTGCGGGTGAATCGATCGCACCCTGTGCAATCCCGTCGCACGGTCCATGGTTCACCGAATAAACTGTCGGACGGTTGCATCGAAGCTGCTGATAAATATGTATGATAAATCCATACAGTGGATGGTGGATTTCTATATAGTGTACGAGGACAGTCGGTTTTCGGTGTTGAGGACAATGTTTTATAAAGTATAATTTTACTGCTCATGCCGAGAGAGCAGGAGAGGGAACGAGAACAGAAAGAGAGAGGAAGAGAGAGAGAGAGAGAGAGAGAGAGAGAGAGAAAGGAAGAGAGAGACGCCCCTACAAAATGTACGGTTTATGTCGCACGGTCGTTTAACTTTCAAAAGCCATCCTAATATCATGGACATCGGACGAATCGATAAACCGTCGCGCCGCTTCCGGCTCCATTAATTGCCTGTAAATGTTGAAATTGATTTTTTAACTGCCCCACCCTCCGCTCACCGATATTCTCGCTTAAACGTTTAGGTCCCTACGTCATTTAAATAATTATTACTTTAAAGCAGCTCTTCGGGCAGAAAATACTCGTCGTAAATCTACGCTCTTCCAGTTTTATGTTTTTCCGAATAGATAATATCCATTGAACGCGATGATTACAAAGGGATAACGTGTTTCGTTTCGTGTAACAAGATAACGGTTCCACGTTTAAAGCATTGTAATTAACCTAATTTTTTTAAAGTATCTTTGGGTATCAAAAGCTTGTTTCACCGTTCATTAGAGGAAAAAACTTGTCGTCGATACTTGGAAATTATTATGGAATTAATACAGAAATGCAATACGTTGGCGAAAGTAGGTCCTTGTAATATTATAATATCGACATGGCACGAGTGGCGTATCTTGTTTAAAACGAGAGGAACATTAGGTAAGGTAAACTGCAATTTCGAACGGACTGTGCGAGTGTTTAAGAGACATTCGCGATTTCAAATTAAATTCTGTTTTTGTAATTCATAAATTCAGCCATTTATATATATTTTTGAAACAATAATTTGTAACATAATAATCTTTTTAATGTCGGTTTTATACGGCGTTATTGCATTTCATACGTTTTTAAGGTAACGATAATGTAAAAATTATTTTCGAGCGTGACGTAACAATTTTTAGTTGCGCCGCAGAATCGTCACGCGTGTGCGAACGGACGAATATAAATGTTCTTTCTGTAGGAATTTATTTCGTTTCAAATAATAAAATAATATTTTGCTTCGACGTTATAATATTTAAAAATTTTTATATATTATTTAAATTCAATCTTTTGAATGAATTTAATTTTGATAAAGTTAAAACAGAATTACGTTATATCTCCAACAACTCTAACGATTTTTCGCCTCGGGCTGCAGATATCGTTATGATTCTCAACGATTTGTAAAAAAAAAGCAACGAGCGAAATTTTGCTCGAGCAACGGACAGTGGAAAAGGGGTATCGTCGAGGGTCGTAAATTTCGAAAACTACAACTCGCGTGACCGTATCCTCGAACAGGATGTAGCTGCGGTTGCTCGAGGATCAGCAACCCTAGTTGCTCCTCGGCCAAAGGGTGGTCCGAATTAGCCCAGCTGGCAAAAATTGCCGGGCAGAAGCGCAGCAACCCGGAAACGGCGTTTAATAAACGTACGACCACGGGAACTTTTCACAATTATGAGAAAACAGCGTAATGCGGTCGGCCGTGGGCCGAGATCTCGGTTACGAGTGCATTTTAAGTAGTTTCTGCGGCCGTGCGCTGCGTGAAATTAGAAAACGACCGTGTGCATGCATTCGTGCCGGACGAATCATGCGTTCGTGTCGATACTCGAACGAATAAAGTGCATTAAAGCCGATAAGAATTTTATACGCGCACCCCGAGCGCATTGGCATTCACACGTTTCGCATATTTTATTATAATATATTCGCGCAGCTTTTGTAAGCAACGGTATAGTTAATCTTTTCGCTTCTGTATGAATGAGTGAAGAAATTTGGAAAATATTCGAGTATACATATATTTGCAGTGATAATAATTTTGTTTACGATTCAGTGACAATCTTGATCAATCGTTAAATGTTAAACCCTGTTGTTAATAATACAGAACAATATTCGTTGTAGTAACCGTCAGAAAGTTCAAAATAACAGAAATGGTGCTGCCATCTGCAGTAGAAACTGTTAAACGTTCTGGCGGGAAATGCAAGAGCGAAGCTAACTACATAGTTCAAACCACTACCCTCACTAACAATACTTTTCTTTTTACCATAAATTTTAATCAAACTCTAGATACAGTCGACCATCCTATAACACGATGGATCGATTTCATGTTGTATCGAAATCGTGTTAAAACTAATAATTATATAAATAAATAAAAATAATATAATATAAATGAAAATAAAAATCAAAAATATTTCCCAAGGTATAAATAATTCCCAAAGTATCGTACCACTTTGAAATTATATAACTCTGTCAATATTGCGTATCTTAATTCAACCAGATTAATTTGTGTAATAGAACATGTCTGAGATAGCGTACTTTACATGCCGACATTTTGTTGACTTATAATCTTATCCGACAAATAAATATAACGCATGTCTAATCTGTATTATCAATATTATTAAAATTGTGTTCTATTATGTTCTTAGTGCATCGAAACAGGATTATCAAATTATGATCATACTATAACACCAACTTTCGGTATTGTGTATTGATAGTTGGAACAATAAATTTATTCATAGAATAGCACATGCTGCCAAAGCAATAGAAACGTTAATACGTTATAATATACTAGAATGCATACTTACCACATGATGCACGGGTCTCTCCTGCAGACTTTTTGAATATCGATGCGACTTTCAACTTTCATTAATTAATTAAATTATTGGACGAAACACATCTCGCGCAAACACCGGTTAAAAGACATAATCAAAAAGCGCGATCAAAGATTCTCTCGATCAGGAAACTGAATGGTGGCGCCATTCGGCGGCGACTCGCGCAAGCTTCAACGCCGCAGGAAACTTTTCAAACTGCGAAACTTGGGAAACCGTAAAATTTTGCTAAGAATTTAATCCCCATAACTATACAGACAACATAAAAATCGCTGTTGGAAAAATCGCGAATGATAAATTCTAATATGAACTTGAAAATGAGTCCGCTTATGTTCCATAAAATTAAATTTTATTAAATCCATTCATCTTTTTTTTACAAGAACACGACTCCTTATCGCGTGTTTGTAGTAAGGTATAAAAATTCATTTACATGCTCGTTAAGGCGAAACAATGAGAAAAGGTATTAAGCTCGAGTTATAGTTTATCCCACGGTAACGGGAATGCGGATCGACAGAAGCTCCTCTCGCAAGCGTCGTAATTACTTTCCGAGTAACAAGGGGGAGAGAACGATTAATATTACAATAATTAACAAATATATATATACTTTTTTATTACTAGAAAACAATTTTTGTTCGGTCTGAGCGTTAGATCGTAGAAGGCGCACGATTGCCGAGCGATTTCGTCTCGCGTGGCTGCGATCCTGGACGACGAACGATTCCCCCGATTATTATAATAACAAATAAATAATTGTTATAATAAAAAATTAATTCCGTAACGAAATCGTAAATCGTCGGTGCCCCGAAAAGTTCGGCACGCCTACGGTCCGCGCGTCCAAACGTAACTAGAATTGTGCAACTAATCGTGACAGAATAACATATAGCACCTGAACTTCGAAAACCACCGTAACCGCGAAACTTCGCGATTCCAAAAGCTCTCCGGACCATTAACGAATATAAATAACCCCCCTCGTCGCTGCGCTCGTCCTTCGCGAAATCCTACGGCGATTAATATGCCCGCCATTTTATCGCGACCCCTAGTTGACCAGATTTCTCCGCGGTGACGGTCGTTCGTTACAAGAAAGCAAGGACGGTAGGAAAGAGATAGGAATGCTTAATCGTTAACGTACAAAGGGCGTAATAAACTTAAAACAATGGAAGCGCGCACCTCCTCGATGTTCCGTTAAAGTCGACATAGCCTTTCCGATCGACGTCATCGAAACGATCGCATAATTCACTTACGCAGAGCACCTCCCGCAATTCGAACGCTTAGGGGAATCTGATGCTATTTTAGAACGTGTTAACGCGTTATTTACCGGAAGTCTATCAATAGCTTTTCAATCACTGAACTGTGGTCTAAGAGAAACTCGATAATTTAATGGAAATAATAATATAAATAATTTCATGAATTATGGATTATCGCAGGTTTTCAACCATTTTTTTTCAGAAATTCTTATCATTTGATCTTAGATTTTTAATGGATATTTAAACAATTTTTTTCTTCAAATTTTTCCCTCAAGGTTCCACCACTTCCCCCCGACAGGTTCGGCGGTTCGGTGAATCGCGTGGCGCCACTCAAAAACGCGGAACGAATGGCGAAACGCGATTCCCCGGGATTGAATTAAAACGGTCACGGGATAATTGGGATTAATGCCTCGGACCGGTAACCGGGGCGAGAAAGTTTGATTAATTCGACCGGGGAGCACCGCGCGATCTCCGGAGCTAGTTAAATGTAATTGCGATCTTTCCCGCGGCAAACACGGTCGACAACGAGCCCGGAAAAATCATCAGCGAGTTAAATAAAAGGCTCTTAATAAATATAGCTGACACGAGCGGATTCGACCGCGATCGCGTGGGATCATTAACGCTCTTCTCGCGGCGCGACGCACGGTGGCCGATCTTCGTAGAAAATGGGACAAAACGAAATTGTTTTATAAGTAGAAAACTGTTATGCGGTTTGAGATTTATTATTATCTCGTACGTATAATTGGTACTGTTTAGTACGTTTACTAATAACTGAAGAAAATTGAAATCATTCGAAATAATTGAAAATTATTTCAATTTTGATAATCTTGTTTCTACTCTATCAAAATGAGCATGCTCCGAATTGTTTAAAAATTGAAAATCTCGTTTCACAAAGTATTATAATAATAGAAAAAGTAGGCGAAAGATATAATTCGTGATATAGCCTACAATTTGAGTATTGGTACATAAAGTCTTTGGAGTCTGTTAGAATGAATTGTTTCTTGTGGTAGATAATCGTTATGTATATTCCTTAGTTCTATGATCTGAACATAACAATCTATCTATTGTCATAAACAATGTTATGCTTTCCATTGCATTGGACCTTCTGACAACGAGTTTAGCAATAAAAATGAAAGTAGTAGAAATCAATAATAACGTTATGTCATTACTAAACCGCGGATTTTATGCATTTATGAGAGAGCAGTAGAAAAATTATGAGACTTTAAGAATCATGTTACATTATTTTTCACCTATTCGACGTGTTAAGAAAGAAAACAAACTACAATTTCACTTTAGCTTGTTGCAATTGAGGTAGACAATTTTTATATTGCAAAAAGATCCGCGATCTAGTCATTGCTCGACAAAAACGATGCGTGCGTTCACGAAGATAAATAAGGTATGTCTCATTTCGTTACCCGTCAATAAAGCGTTCTCAAGTCATAACGATTTCTGTCCCATTTTTAAGCGGAATCGCCCACTGCGCGACATCGTCCAATTAGGGACGCTTCTCCCCGGCAATTATCCTCGACCAATTAAGAACTTATTGTCGCTAAACTACGAAGAACGCGGAGGTAGCGCGTCAACCGGGAATTATAGAATTGCTGTGAAGGTTCCCCGAGACTCTCTGGATCTTGCTCGCTCGTATATTTACAACATCATCCGCGCGCCGTATTTATTGTTGCCTGTAAAACGAAACTGCAGCGGAATGCGTTCAGACCGGAGGCGACTGCGGAACGCTCTCCGAAGATACCAACTGTGGAGCCGTGAAAAACGTAAACTCCGATGGCCCGATAAACCGCAGCAATCCACTAGGTCGTTCGAAATTCCTCCGTGGAAACGTTCCCGCTTTCTCTGCTGCAGTCGACACCTCGCGCAATCGTATCCTTAGTTAACAGGTAATTTACTGGCAAGTGGAGGCTAACCTTTCAGAGGATTAGTTCTTTCGCGCCGCTTCCGGATCCCCCGGTAGCGGAAGAACCGGTGCGGCCAGAGGGGAGGAGTTACAGCACCTTTCGCGATCTCCCGTGATCGACGATCCTCCGCGAAGCTCGTCCACCGAACGAATCGTGCCAGCGAAATGGTACCGTGTGCATGCAGATCGTCCACGAACGGTAGAATCTCTTAGGATGCTTGCCTAGTTCCGTTTGCTGGAGTTGATCAGATACTTGCAGCAGTGCGTCAGCAGGTGTTTCTCGCCGGTGACGTCGTGAGGGACGTTCGTCGGGCTGGTGGACTCTCTGGTGTAGATGTCCAAGCCGTATTGGCCTTCTTCTGGGAAGCTGATCGAGAAAGTGACCACGTCGTCGTCGGCGATCGAGTGCGTCACGTACTTCGACAGCCGTTTCTCTTCGATCCCGTTCTTGTGCAATGTCGCCATGAAGTCGGTCAGCGGCCTTGACATCCGGAACTGGATCTCTAACTCACGACCAGCGAACACCAGAGCCTCCTACGAACGATTCGAAATTTCAGATGACTGGACATTGGAAGATTGATTTGGTAAATTTGATTTTTGTCGATTTATTTGTTAGCGCCTCTGGCCAATAGACTGCGAATTTATGCATTTCAGTGAAATACAAAACTGTGAAGGTGTTAAAAGTATTTGAGAATGTTATTACATCATTTTAATAATATTGTTGATCATTGTTTGTGTATTCTGTCACGAACTGATGTTTTAAGTCAGCCGAATTCTCAGATTACTTTTTAACAATTATATTTGAACAATCGCTGCTCGTCTTAATGTCCTTCTCCTTCCGTTTAAGGGTTTTCTTATTATTGTTATTATTATTTTTATTATAATTATCAATTGCAGTTTTTTGTTCTCCTATTTTATTGCCATTTAATTTGTATTCATTATCATTATTATTTTGACTTTTCCATTTCCTTTATACAATATTTCTTTTTCTTCCTTTCTATTGTTTGTAAATTTTCTTACACTTACTGTAACAAAGTGGGTTTCTCTATTCATCATTATTTCTATTGTTATTATATTTTGTTTCTTCGAGCCTTTCGAAACCAAAAGAACTTACGAAGTAAAAGAAAGTTCGTAGACATCGAAATAGCTATGTCCAATTAAAATAATCCACCTCTACGAGGGAATAATTAAAATGTTAAGAATTGTGTTACTTGTTGCACGAATTTCTTTCTTCTTACAATTACATCGAAGTCCAACCAAGTACCGTAACAGAGTTAACGAGGCAAAAGAAGAACGTGCTTCGCTTTGAAAAAATGTTTCTAATTGGCGAGATATGTCCATTGAATCCTCGAGGAACCGAGGATTCCGGTATTTTAGGTTGACGCTGGCTTGACGATGTTTGGCACTCGATTTACCTGATCAGTAATTGGTATAAGGCCAAAGAGTCTCGTAGCCTTCGTCGGTCCCCATTCGCCGCTGGCGCAGTCTGGCAGTGGCACCATCACCGTCTGCAGTTCCTCGCAGGCGATTTTAAATTTACAGACGCTCTTGAACTTCATGGGCTCGCCGGTCAAATATTCTTTCGGCGTCACGGCGTTCGCGAAGATGTCCAGAAGAAATGCGCCCGAACAGGGCGCGTGCACTCTGAACGCGACTATGTTGCCGACTACAGACTGTGGGAACACGGGAATTTGAAACATTCAGTGACAATAAAGCTGCGGAAGTTGTAACTATTCCCGGAAAGTAATAGGACGAGATTAATTTGAAGGGGGACTGAACTTTAAACAGCGGCGACTATTCCGGCTGCTAAGGTTACACGGGAGACCTATTTAGAGAACGTTATTATTATTGCAAATAGTAAACTTCGTCGTCGCTCGAATAAACGTACAAACAATCCCTTTGTGCGCGGCACCCCTGGCTAATTAATTTCAGTTCCTGGCGATTAATTAGCAGGGCACTGCCGTTAAGCAACTTTTCTCTTTCAGACGGGAAGGCGGTCGGAATTGTTGGGTACAGCTTTGCCGAAGGGTCGTGCAGGTAATTAACCGCACAAACCCAGAAGAATTTCATTTCGCCGGGCGAGTTCGATCGATCCGCGGCAAATGATTACCTGCATGACGAAGCGCTTCAGCGACACGCCGTCGTATCCGTCGCCGTCGTTGTCGTAGAACTTCAGGTTATAGTGAAAAATGAGGGACGACTGCATGTGAGCCGGCATGGCTATCCTGACGGTCGCGGCGCCCGTCGAGTCCGTATACATAACGGCGTTCGTGTTCGTATCCGGGAAGTAGAGACCGTACCTGTCGAATTTACATAAATTCTGTTGCTCGTTTGCTTTTTTTCTTTTTGCTCGCTGGATAAATTCGAACGGCAAATATCGGGGCCGGTCAAATAATTATACGATAACTTCGCGCCGCGATTCCTGGGGAACGACGTCTCACCTGAAGAACAACGATCGCACGAAAGGCAGCTCTTCGAAGTCTTTCAGCGAAATCGGTTGTTTGAGCAATTGCCACTCCTCTTGCAGAGGGAAGAACTCGTAGATGAATTCCCGCGGGTCCGTCAAAAAGTAGTGGTCGTCGTACTCGTATCTGAAGCACGACGAACGATCGATTTTTGGTACACCCGCTCGTCGCAATTACATCGTTGGGACCGTAAAAACGTGCCGCCTCGAAAAGACGAAAGTTCCGAACGTGTGAAATGTTTCGAACGCGAATACGAAACTGCCGCGAGGCAAACTTCGTATTCTTTGGTCGGGCACTTTGACCGAAGAATGCGGTGATCTTGCGCAAACACATTGTCTTCGTTATATCGAAACGGAAATAGAGGCAGAGTAAATTCAATATTCTTCGCCGAGCATGTGTTCTGCAAATATTACAACGCGGCTGTTCGCGAATGGAATTTCGAACAGTCGGGGTGAATAATAAATTACGAGATTGCTAATGTGTCCTAGAGAGCAGCACGTCGGCTCAAATAATTGGACAGTTATTTAATACACTTCTGCAGAAAGTGTTCGATCAAACAAATCGACAGAATTCACTGGCAATAAATACACATCGTTCGTAACTGGACTGCGGATTTTTATGGAAAATGAAAATTTTCTGAGTCGATTGCAGGAAATAGAAACGAGATAGCGAGTTTATTCGTTCTTTAATCATTCTGGTAGATTAAAGAAATAATACATTGACGTTTTTTCATGCTTTTACTATTATACTATTATTTATTCATATATAGTATATATATAGTAGAATATATATATTCATATATATTCTACTATTTATTGCATAAAATCCGCAATCTAGTTATAACATTAGGAACATTTTTTTGGTAATCTCTACCACTCGCCTATGTTGTCGAGGTATCAAAAAATTGGTCTAATAAATTAGCACACTCGAATAATTCTTTCAACGGTCATGTTTACGACTGCGATCGATCATTTTCTGTCAAACTTCAGTCCGACTGAAACGGATTTCGAGGGTCACCTGAGACTGTCGTTCTTGGCTTTGGGTTGGCCAGGACGAGGAACTTCTTTGGCATTGACGAGATGTCGTGCTCCCCAATTGCACTGGACGAATCTCCATGCACCGGCCACGTAAACCGCGTTCCAGCTGTTCCGGAATCTATTGTCCTCGAAACACACCCCCGGCTGGTAGCCAGCCGATTTGCTGTAACCCTTTATGACTACGCAATGTAAGCCCGCGTAACTGCGAAACGAAATCGGAAAGATCTTTAGTTACACAGTCCAATATTCGATAAACGTACAATTCGTCACGGTTACGAATTTCATGGGGTACATAGTACCTGCACAGTCGCTTGAACAGAACGTGGTAGCTTTCAGTCCCGTGTTTGATCCCTCTCAACAAACCCATAGGCGTGTCGCCGCGCAGATTCTCGTCGAACTGCATAGTGTTCAGATTCTTCACGGTGATCCATCGGAATATCGTCCTCGCCTTCTCTATGTCCGATCCGCATCTGCTCACCAACTGCCGCACCAGGTCCGTGAACGTTTTTTGATCTTCTTGGGCCACCTGATTTATCGCCGGGGAAGAAAGGGTGTGAAGATCGGTAAGTCAATCCCTGTACCTAATCTACGTTCTGTTCTCCAATAGACGTTCGGTATGTTTGCACTATAAATCGTGCGCAATGGGAGGAGGATCGTTTCAGGACTCGTGGAGGTTTCGCCTGCCCTAAAATAGGGCACGTCCCTCCAAACAGAGATAAAGGGAGACAACCATTCGAATAAAGGAACGTGTCGAACACTTCTTATTCGCTGAGTGGCTCCAGCCGAGCGAACATGATCGTTTAAAAATTAACATTAGGTCCCAGACTGTGATCTTGTCAGGTAACCAGGAGTGGAACTGTTCGTTTTTACGTTTCGTCGTTAACCAATTGCAATAATTGCGTCGGAAGTTTATTCAATGGAGACGTGGCTAGCAATTATTCATTTATTTGGCTGTTGTTTCAATTCCTTGCGCGACAATTGTTTTAGTTTCTACAAGAAAATAATCTGTATTTATTATACGTCTGCATTCTGAGTAAAAAAGAGCTATTTTGGATTTACAGTTAACCCCTCAAGTGACAAGCCTGTGACAGACACGCATTTATCTAAAATTGATTTGTGTCAAATATTTTATACGCCATTTTATTCTATCTATTTCTCCACTTTTCATTGAACAAAAAAGCTTTATCTCTTAGCAAACCATTTAATATCGGGAAAAAATAGACAATTTTCGCTCGGATTCTCGAATTTCGCGGCTTAATTAAAAGGTTAAAACGGCTCCGAGTGCAAAGGGTTATTTAACACGTTCACGGACGCGAATGCTATAGCATACATTTTCATTGCACTGCAAAACGACACGAACGCTACGTCAATGAAATTTATAAGCCGCATTGTCATGTATTCAATTCTGCATAGCGTTCATTCTTTGAAATTATTTCGCGCTTCAATTTGATCCGTATCTCGTCGTGAATGTTGTTCATCGCATATAGCTATTCAAATGCGATATTCCGAGCGGTCGAACAAAATGTGACTAAGAATAAATCATCCGTCTATATTTGCAGCTCGTCAAACTGTTAACTGTCCGCGTACGTGTTACTTTCCGTCGCTGTTCATCCGCGGACGCGCGGAAGTGTAACAACGTAGAGTCCATAAGTTCCAAATATATCTTCTTCGGTGAAGATCGTAAATCGATTACCGGACGTCTCGTCGCGCTCGGAAGAGCGTACAAGAAAGCGGTATCGCGAATATATGAAAATATTGACGCCGATTCGGAGAGCCCTTTAAAATTCCGCGGCTGTAACCGGCGGCGGCGCGCGGCGTCATCGGTCGGGCTTCTCCGATATATTACATTTGCAGGAAGATCCGCCGTTAAAAGGGAACCTACGCCGCGAGCTTACCGAAATAGCTATCTGATCCATGTCAGCAAACTCCAGAGGATCATTGTAGATGTGATACTTGGCGAGGGCGGGCGGCTGCGGGGGTGGTGCACGCGACGGATAAGGCATAGGCGGCGCTTCCTGGGCATAACCGTCCCCTTCGTCGAGATACAGGCTCTCCTGGCGCATATACTCGCTCCTCGCCTCATTGATCAGCTCCAACATCTCGGAGCTCTGTTTCTCCACGAGCGCCGCGGTCGCCGCCCTAGAAATTGATCAGGAGTTACGAGCGGCTCGCGCGTGAACCGCGCTAGGGCTCCCGGTCGTTACGAAATTCACCCATAAAGCGGGAACTTCCGCGTCGCCTTTGAATAAATAACCTCAGAAGGTTCTCTCCGCTTCCCCGACCCGCACGGAGGAGCGACGGGAATACGTAATTAACGGGAATCGCGGTGATATTCGTCCCCGCTGCCTCCCGGGCACACAGGATCCCGACCCACCGACCTATCGCTCGGTTTGCAATGGAGACCGTGGTTTAATTCATAACAATCTCGCGGTGGATTTTAATTACCGCCGACCGCGGCAGAGTTTGTCGACTGTGTAATCCCGTTGCCTCCTCGGATGAACCCTTTGCAAATTTGCAGGTTACGCGGGGAGTGTTATACAAGATGTTGCATTAGTGCCGCAATACCGCGCTGCGTCGCGTCGCGTCGGGGGGAATTTTAAACAGATGGATATTAATTTTGTTGCGAGTCGTTAGCCATCTGCTGCACGCGACGCGAATCTGCTGTTGTTTGACAATGCGGCAATGACCGACGTTTCCAATTAAGGGACTGTGAAAGCCGTTCCGGGGCTTTGCGCGCGTAAAATTGTTCTCGCGAAAGGATTCTTTGAAGTTCGATGGATCGGCGATGTTGTTGCGTGTTCTGCGAGACATTTTGTAATTTCATGCGACGCAGAGAAAGTATGAAAATGATTTGTACTAATTTCATATATACGTCTTTCAGGCTTCCAAAGGTCTTGCACCCTTTTTCACGGAACGTGAATATGTCCCTGTTCATTTTTTTTTTTTAATAACGATGCTATCGTTTAAAAGACGCTGACAAAAGCGCGCAGAGCGCCGGCTGAAGACGCAGATTTCGTTTCGGTTCCCCGTGTACGAAGTGGAAAGCGTGGTCCCAAAGGGTGAACCGTGTGTCAGCCGGCGCGGCGCAACATTGTAACGCTTTCATCGGAGCTAACGAGTGTAATCCGAGTACGGCGCGGAATCAGTTTAATTAGGTAATGAGTACCGTTCGTGTTCCATTATTTTGCGCGTGAGACTTTCCTTCTTCTTGTCCCTGCGTAGAGTCATGTTCTTCTCCAAGTCCTCCTTCTCCTGCTGAAATTGTTGGGTTCGAACTCTTCCGCCTTTTTCGCGTTCCCATCTTGCCGACAGCTGCTCCAGCTCCTTCTCCCATTCGTCCTGCACGCCAGAGAGAGAAACGCGGCGACTGTTAATGTTGCACGCTCCCGATGCGCAGCGTTAGCGGTTTTAATTAATAAGCGAGAGCATCGGCTAATGACGGCTGATCCGCCGGGCTAATTGATAATACGCACTCGGAATTCCTCTCGGATCCTCCTGTCCTCCTCCTCGCGGTGGTGCGCGAACTTTCGGTACAGATCGTCCTCCTCTTTGCGGTGCTTCATCTCGAGACGCGTCTGCTCGTCTCGATCCTGAAAAACGTAAAAAAACACGGTTAGCATCGCAGCGACACGGATATCGTAACTTGCACGCCAGCCGAAAAGATATTGCTTCGCGATCTCCGGATGAGTTAAGACGATGGTGTTCCCGCGCAATTGCTGATTCCTATGGATTTTTCTTTCTCCGCGCATGACCGAACCGCGGATTTTATGCGTTTGCGGCAAAAAGGGGTAAATGAAACGAAGGAATAATTTAATAATATCGTTGCATCGAACGCAATTCAGCTCTCGAGACAAGAAATCATTTTCTTAGGCGAAGTAACTTTTCTTTCTGGCAACCGACTCGAAGTTCTTCCCTTTTGCACGAAGATCCGCAGTCGAACGCGCGGGTTCGTCGAGAAATTGGCTATTAACCAACGACTCGAGCAAAAAGATATCATTTGCACGTCGAATTATAGACTATAATAGACCCCTGGACGTATTTCAGATTCGTTCGAAGTCGAAGCAACAAGAAATCAGACCAGAGAATAAAAGATCCGTTAGGCAGAGCCCCGATAGGGAAAAACCATACTGTCAGCCGAGGTTCAAGCTGGATGAAATGAAACCCGGCCGTAAGAAAAATCGTGGAAAAAGCGTTCATTGTGTGCACGCCTTCCGCGAAGTATAGGCCCAACCCTAATCCGGCCAAATAATTCGAGCGATTGGTTTCACGAACTGCGCGGCCGAAACTAGTTTAATCGCGGGCAGACCGCAATTGAACGGGACACGTATTCTTCGATCTATCAAAAAGCTGAGACCGCACCTAAACGTTCGAAGGGGATTCCAGTTTTTATCGGGTTTACTTTCACGCGATGCCTCTGCTTTCCTTCGGCCCCGGCACCGGAAACGACAGGTTCTACGAGCGTCGCCGACAAATTGAAGCAATCACAGCGAGGACGGCGGGGAAAAAAAACGTGATACAGTTCCATTGTACTAATTCGTTCGAACGACGTTCGGCCGGCGTGGAAAACCAAGGGAGGAAGAAAAACGCGATGGAAGACGGCCTGCGGCTGTCGGCGGCCTCAAGGTGCTTCAGATTTGGCGTTTCATTGCGCGAGCGATTTCCTCCGCAGCCGATCGCGTGTACAAACAGAGGAGAGGCCCACGCTACAGTTACGTCATGCCGGCGCACGTTATTGCGTGAAATAACCGCAAATAAGGACAATGTTAGAGAGCATTGACATTTCCAACCAGCTCGCTACGTTCTTCGGAATAATACAGACGGCGGTGCGCTGTGGCAAAGATTCTCAAATATCTTCAGATCGCCAGATAAAATGTTTGCTACAAAAATTCGAACTTCCGAAAATAGGGTAAAATTGCCTAATATGAGACCCTAGTTTATTTTTGCTACAGATGTCCCGAGCATCGGATCGACCCTTTTTTTCTTGCGTATTAAGTCGCATCTTTCGTTGTTTCATCTGCTTTTGGACGTTCAAGACGTTTGTAAAACGCGTTTCGGAAAGTTTCTAAAGGAATTCGTCTACATTAGAAATATTTTAAAAATGCTAAGTTTATAATTATTTTCATAAATACTATTATACACAGTGCATTCAATGAAGTTTAAGATTTATAAATTGTATACATATGCCAAACGTATAAAAGAGACAACAAAAAATACATTTTCTGAAAAAGCCAAATTGGGTCTCATATTAGAAACCCAATTTTCAAATCTGTGTCTTTGAATACTTTTAGTTTTTCTTCTATTATGAAGAAGCGGAATTATTTTTCTGTATTTCCAGTAGATTGTGAAAGTATACATATTTTGATTTTTAAACGTGTATCTACTTTTAACAAAAATATTTTTAATTGAAAATTCTAATTTAAAAAAAAGATAGTGGGTCTCGTATGAAGCACCTTACGCCTAGTACCTTCAATTAAAATTGAATAATTTCTATAGTAAATAGTAAACCCAAATTTTATAATAAGCGAAATGTAACCGAATGGACGAGAAGAGTTATTTGCATACACATTTTCATTTTTGAATAAATAAAAATTAGGTTCTCTAACTAGGTGATTACTTACGATCGAAATAATTGCACCCTCCGTAAATGAATACTGATCCGCAATCTAGATAGCAGCATCGAATATTTATATTTTTAATTAATTGTAAATGCTGCGACTACATGCCAGCATCGTTGTATATAACGGGGAAGCAACAGGCGAATTTATGCAGCAACTCGGTCGTTCGAGTCCGACGAAGCATGTAATCACGAATCTATTTTCCAGAAGAAGATTCTCGTCGCGATGCGACGGGTCCAACAGGGTTATTTATTCATTATTTATTGAACGAGCTATACCAGCCCCATTGTGCGGTACAAGTAAATTAACAAATAACAATCTAATATACAAAATGACAACAACAAGTGCCCGATCGAAGTATTTGCTCACAACGAAATGTTGACTTAGATTAGGCTATATTGGAGATTTTGATAATTACAAATTCTAGTAATAGCGTTTAAGAATCTAAAGTCGGTCTTAGAGGTGCGTACTTATATGGTTGTACCTCAGTGTTTATTTTCCTAGTAATCGAGTAACAAAATGCAAAAATTGATGCTGTATTCTCTCGTTTAATCGCTCTGTTAATTATTATTACCCGCGTTTATATGTTCAATTTTCGGATCCGCGATCGTCGTCGATTTGTTTGTACAGCAAATCTCGCCGCTCGCATCTTGAACGAGCCACTAAGAGACCCGCGCTAAGAGAGACACGCTTTCGAGACGACGAGAAAGCGTGATAACAGAATTAATTCGGTCAATCTGTTTGCCCGCGTCATTGAGGAAGCTATTTTCTTTGATTTTCCGTCGCGTGACTGGTTAACCAAGACCACGGTCTCGGTGCCCAGTCTTGTTTGCGTTTTCCATCGAACGGGCCCGCCATGTTTAATTCCCGGAGCGTCCAAGGTAAACGATCGTGATGTCAATTTTACCGAAAGTTACCGCGTCCGTCGCATTTCTTCGCGTGTCGATGAGGCGTAATGACAGCGGCTGCATTCGCTATCGAAGCCTAATTCTTATTCTCCTTCAAAAATGATTCGAAACCGTCTCAGGCCGCTAAACGATCTCGCTTTCGTCGAACACCGCTATATTTACTAATCGGCGTCTCTATCATTGCTAGACTGACGCATCTTTATGCAAAAAGAAAAGTTTCTGAAACAGAATTTTTGTCAGAATAGGCTAGTGCAGCTGGTTTACTCTGGGGTGACCAATTACTGTGCATAATTAACCTTATATCTACATATATACATACTAAACTGTTTTATTAAAAAAATACACAAAATAAAAGAATACAAAAATTTAATATCTCTTGTTCGATAAATATGTATGAAGTTAATTACGCTCGAAAACAAACGAAAGGCAAATTGTTTTATTCAGAAATGAAAAAAGAAGTGAAAGAATAAAAAGATTTTATATACAAACAAAAATAAACAAAATAAAAGAATAAGAAGATCAAATATGTCTTTTTCGATAAATATGAAGTTAACACTTTGCAGTCTCAATTCGAAATCCAAAATATGTTTTCTGTGATCTGCAGTATTTCTATTTCATATGATTCATTGTAATTTAAGCATATGAAATTGCCAATGCAAGTACTTGCAGTTCTTTAAATATAAACCAATTTAATAATAATGTAAAAACTACTTTCAGAAACGGTATAGCAATTTTTGGTGGCGCCTCAGAGTCGTCACTCGAGTGCAAAAGGTTAATTGAAAACAAACCGAAAGTACAGCGATTGATCAACCCCACAGTAACCGGCTCTATTACCATCCGGTCCAGAATAATGGACCGGAGGCTGCGGGGACACCAAAAACGGAAGGAAAGAAAGTAACAATAGGAGCTCGGGAGGCTGATCCACGATCTAGGCGAGCGATCCCGATTAGCATCCGCGTATCGTTCGTTCACAAAGGCGCGTGAGAGGCTCGCCACAATTGCTCTTTAACAGGATACGCGGATTCTCTCTCCTAATCTCTGTCTTTCTCCGTTCTGTTCTAGCCGGGCTTATCGCGCGACTCTTTCCCCGGCCTCGACGATTCTCTAATTAACTATCAAGCGTAGTTGGAGTACCGCAAGCGGAAGCGATTCTTGGCGTTCGTGCGCGAGCTTTACTTCGCGTGCTCCCGCGGAACGGGAGAAGGAAAACCGGCGGAACGCGTTCTTCCGTGGTAACAGTTTGAATAATGCTCCACGAGGACGTTCGCCGCATTGTTCGCCGGATGGCCTGGAAGCGGCCACGACTGAAACCCCCCTACCCTACCCCTCCCCGTCGGCCCAAGAAAGTCCGTGGCGGCCGCGTGAAACCTTGACAGAGCCGCGCCGCGATCGAGGAACGCGAGCACCGGTGATCCGGACGCGATCTCCTCTTTTCTCGTTTCGATTTTTGCGATCGTTCACGGTCCACCGACGACGACGACGACGGGATCCCCGCGTTCTTGCGATCCAGAGCAGCTTCCACAGCCGGACAATTTCATCCGCTCGAACGACTCTCTAGGCGGGGATCCGTAGGCGAGGACGTAGAAGCGGCGAGGAATTCGCGGTTCACGGTTCCGCGAATCGAAGAAATCGGCGCGCTGCTCAATTTGCTCGATACGCGAGTAAAATCGAAAAAAAAGAACAGTCCAGCTCGTGGAATCTAGTTAACGTCCTGGATGTTCGTGGAGATACTACGCGACGAAATACGTCCGCTGTACATGTACAGAGGATCACGAAAGTATTCGAAAGCCTTTGGAAACTTAACGTGACTTCTTCACGATTGCGCCGAACGATCGAAGCTTTTCTGAGATTTCAGAGGGATTAGTTTACTAAACGATGGTTAAAAAATCGTTTTCAAAAATTGCAACTAACTGGAACGATGATTATAGAAATTATAAAACTGTATTCGTTTCGATATCTTGCTATTTTTATTATCATTTTTGATGGAATTAAAAAATTTATTTCGTACGCAAGACTCTGTCTGCAACAATTTCGAAATAAAATATAAGAGACGGGTCATTTCGACCGGATCGGTAGGTTTAGCGTTAAATGTTGAGTTTCAAAAGTATGTCTGCAAGGAATTGTGTGCAGATTCCTGCGGATGAGTAGCGTATTCGCAACGAACAGCGCATAACTTGCAGGGATATTAAATCTGTCCAAGTTTCTGGTCGAATTGACCGCAGCTTCGGACACGGGGAAAGAGAGATCGCATCTTTTACGAGCGGCCGATAATTGGGAAAACGCGTGGGCAGGGTCCACCGATCTCAAGGATGACGCCGGGGATCGTAGAAAGTAGTCGGTTTATAGTGCGAGTTAACGGTCCCGTCGAACTCTGAAACGATTACCGTATAATAAACCGGAGGGGGCACAATGCCGCGAAGAATCCAGAATACTGGAGTTCGCTAATTAATGATTGTGAGAATTTATTCGTCGACCCCTGCCGACGAGTGGGTACACCCAGAGACCCAATGTTCTACTTGATTATTTAATTTAATACGGTAACTGGATGTTAAAAATTGAAAGTGCGAGGGCGTGGTTGCGAGAAAAATTGGGCTGAAAGCGTTTCCGAATTATTGAACGCGAACTCAGGGTGTGACCTTATTATTAATTACGGAGACGTACGTCTACACGGTTGGTGAATGCGCTGAAACGTGGAGAATGTAGGCTACTTTGCGAACCAAAAACGAAAGATTCGCTCGTGGAGAGATATCGCGATCGGCAAAATAAATATCATACGATTTTTATGAAAATCGGTACTCTTATGTTTTTTTTTTAGGATGCTGAATTTTACTGGCACGAGTATTGTAAATATCTATAATTTTCCTATATTTGACTACAATTGTGTAATCGGAATATAAAACTTAATGTAACGATCTTAATTTCAATACCATCAACCCCTTGCACTATAACATCGTGTCATACTATTTTAAATCAGAGCAGAATTTAATTTAATATAATCTAATATTTTGACTATATAATTTTACAGTTTTAAAAAAAGTCATCGCGTTTTGAAAGGGGATTCTTAACTTTTTGCCCGCAAGTGTACGTGCGTGAATAACTTTGAACGTTGCATTTTGGCGAAATTTCTGGGAAAAGGTACCGTGGTGTTTCGATCCAGCCGAAAGAAAACCGCAACGGGTCGCTGCGGCAGATTTTGCATCCGTGTTTCTATACTTTTTTTTCCGGTATTCCTCGAGCGTCGAAGGAAACGTCGCGTCGGGACGGCGACCCTGCGCGATGCCCACGCTACTTTCGCAAGACCATACGGAGCCTTCGCGAAATACTATAAATAACAGACCACCGTCGCGCGTTTTGCTGGATCCGCGGCCGCTCGCGCGAAAGCGGATTGAGAGAAAACACGAGCCGATAGTGGAGCGACTAGCGGCTCGGCCTTCTTCTACGGCCGGCCCGATGGGAAAAGCGGCAATCTCATTTTCATGTAGAGCCCGTCTTCGCCCGCGGTACACATTCCTCGCTTGTCAAGCCGATCCCGCGCACGAAAGTCACCGACAAGACCGGACCAATGGAATGCCGGCGCTTGGGACCGCATTCTGCCGATTGGAAATTCGGCAACCGCACCGTTTTCCTCATTAAAACGCTTCTACGTCCGCGGAACCGCGTTCTCCCGGTCTACCCGATCCCGCGACAGCCAGCCGATTTCCACGCGTCGCTGACCACGATCGAAATACCGGATTTCATTTTACTCCGGACACCTTCCAACGGACATCTTGGCCGCTGGAATGACGCCCGACGGGATTTAATTTAATAACAACCCGGTAAAACGCGAATACCCCGCGATCACGCTACCGATATCCTCGTTATGGCTTGCTCCATACGCGCTGGATCGGACTACAGTAAATTCTCCCTAATTGACACTCAGCTTGGAAACAAAATTGGACAATTTGAGAAGCGGAGATACGATCGTTCGAGCCTCGCGACACGTTTTTATAGCTACCGATTGTCAACAACTATAAAAGCGAGCCGCGAAACTCGAATAATCGCATCTCCGCTTCTCGAATTATTCATTTTTGCTTCCAAGATGAGCGTGAATTAGGGAGAATTTATTATACTGTGACTCTGTTTCTGTTGCAGATAGAAGAACATCGAGAAAGCTGTTTTGCATTGTTTTTATCATTATTTGAAGAGAATTTACGAATGAATTATTGCTCGGACAGTAATAGAACAATCGTGTAAATTATTGCAAATGGATCGTAAAACTGTATGCATTTATAGCAAATGTAAATTTGGGAAAAGAATCCAAAATTCCATGGAATATAATACAATTTCGGATCAATATCGATATATATATATATATATATATCGTCGTGAGTAACAACATTGTTCTGAAAATCGGTTTCCCTAAACCTGTTCATGAAATGAATTCTTCTCCATTTTACTTCGATAATGCTAATGACAATTCAATAGTAGAAACGTAAAACGATAAAAAGATTGAAGGAATTTAAGAACATCGACACATTATTGCCAGCTTATTAAGATTGTTGGAATGAGAAAGAAACTTTCAATTGGCAACTGCTTCTTACAATCGTCGCAGACAATTTTTATTTTGCACTAAGATCCGCGGTCTACCAATGACTGACATTAACCCCTTGCACTATAACGACGAGTCAGACGCGTGATAACCGCTTTACATTACACATAAATGTTATTCGTGTTTTCAAGTCGAGACAAACTTTGATTCTTCTGTTATCAAAATCCAAAAACGAAGATAAACAACGACATCGTTTCGTTCTATTAGAGTGAAGCGAAAATGATGAGAAGCCAGTTTGATTTGTTTTCGGGGATAATTAACTATAGATTTATCGAAAAAGATATTTTCAATTCCTATATTCTCCTATTTTCTTTATTTTTAAACGAAAAAAATGTAAATTCGAACTAACCAAAGGAACAGCAATTGGTAACCCCATCAGTTAATTAACGTAGCTATGAAAGAAAGAGAAATCATGGTGCAAATGGTTAACACTGTTTGTTCTGCACTCGAGTTAACAAGAAATATTTGCCATCGGGAGGAGATGCTGGACAGAGCAATGTACCCAGCGTCCGTGGCAAAAGGAAGCCGCGGAACGCGTACGGATTCCGTGTGCGACGAACCGGAGGACCGCAAAGCGACCGGCCGATGAGTGGACGCGACGATAATTTCAATAAAACGATCCGAATCTGCGCGGGTAATTAACCCGGAGCCGCGTAATTGCCGGATCGCCGCGGCGCGCCGTCTAGAATAGGTGATCCGCTCCTAATACGGCGGCGGCCGTGACGAATGATTTCGCCGGGCATGCCAATGACTCACCAGATAATAATCGATGGGCTTCTCGCGTGCCTTGCTGTAGCCCTTCTGAAGTTCCGTCTGCTTAAGGGCATGGGCGATGTGAAGCGCGCTCGCGTCGAATCTTCCGTACTGGTAGCTCCCATCCCCGGCGTAATGGTGGTTGTACGGCCAGGACGCTCCTCCGCCGGCATTCCCATGGAAATCACGTTGGGACGAATTCGTAGCCGGCGGTGAACCGTGTCCGTTTAGGTGCCTGGCATAATTAGGCGAGTCTACATTATCGTAACTGCAACAAAATTATGCAACGGGTCTTCAGGGGCCTGGGGATCGTCTACGGAATCTTCCCTTCGTCGAACGAAGGCCTGGGCAACGGGGAACGATCCCCGTTCAACCATTTTCTGATCCGATGCCGGATTCATCGGCACTCGTTAGCCTCGGACTTAATTAGATCCTCGACAATTCGATCTAATTAACCCTTTGGCTGCGGCTGACTTTTCTTTCTTATACGTACCGTGAACACAACATATGATCGTCCGATCGCAAGCTGACTATGAACGGTGTGCGTGTAATTTTCAGACTTACATTGATATGAACGGAACACTGAATCGTATTACATGCGTTTGTTAATCTCTTACCTTACGATTTATATTCGAAGAAACGTAGGCAATTTAATTTAGCGCAACTCCATACGTGTTATCGCAAAATGAAAAAGTAACATATTTTATATTTATATTAATGTGAACAATAATTCATTTGTAATAGAACGGATGAACAAAGTAATGCTAATATTGAATAAAAATCGAAGAATCTCCTTTTCAAGTTAGAATAAACTTAAAAAAGAAGTTGACATAACCTTGAACTTATTGTAAACGAACTGTTCAAATTCCTTTAAATATTGTTCATTGTCTAATAAATCATTATAACTATAACGACGCAATTTTTTACAGAGGAGAAAGCCAAGAGAATGTGCGAATGTTATAATAATTTTGTTTAACAGTTAGAAAAAATGTATATGGTTTTTAAACATTTATATATGCGGCGGGCATCGCCCGTCAAATCGAATTTGGTGCAGAAAATGTTTGCGAACGAAACTCATTATTTCTACTTAAGGGGTTAATGATGATAATAATTTCTAATAAAATTTGACGTCGCTTGTAGACGCCAAAAATTTGTAAATTTTTTTTTAAACAGTACATCGGAAGCTTCAAGGTGCCTATAGAGACCTACGGTAGTCTAAGGATTAAACGTAAATTTTAGTGTCGTAACGTAAATTAAGGTGACCAGGTCCGAGGAACAAAAAATCAGATATAAGATATGACAGCTAAAATATATACATTGTCAAATGTGTTCTTTGCTGCACGAAATTATGTATGGCAAGTAGAACAGCTGAGCTTTCGTTTCCACGGTGATGCGCGATGATGCAAATCTTTCCATGTTTGGCTGTAGCAATTGGAAATGGGGACGATTCCTGAAAAAAACTAGTTCTGGCTCTAATTGATGATCAGTTTAAGATTTCTAGGATGTAGATCAGTCGACCGTGAACAGATGTTAAGTATCAATAAACTGGAAGTCCAGATAATGGTGCTTTGATTCAGAACCATTTCCAATTAAGAAGGCTGATATCCATTCTGTGCTTCCGCTACTAAAAGGATATACGTACTCGCAATAGGAATAAAAGCTTCGCGGGCGAAGGTAGCGAGATCGATAATTCGAATAATAAATGAAAAACAATGGAACGTTCAGAATAGAAAAAGAATCTAAATCAAATAGTCATCGATACAGATCAACAACTGTGATTCTGCAATTTCACCGAACTAACCGATTCGACGTGCAAAAGACTATTTCACTTTTTGCTGCTCCGTTAAAAAAGAAACCGTATTTCTCGTGGAAATAAAAACTTCGTAGTTTCAAAGCAGCGGAATCAACCGAATAAAAAACATATTACGTTCTTCAAAATGAAACAAACATTGCACGTTACGAAAGATTACACAGGACCTAGATTTTAACTCATCGAAACGTTCAAAAAAACATTTAACGAATTAAACTGAAAATGATAATTCTGCAATTTCAGTGAAACATTCGATTGAGAATGCGGAGAACTATTTTACCTTCTGTGTGCCTCCGTTGATGAAAATCATACTTTCCACGGTGGGTAAAAGGTTGGCTGTTTCGAAGAAGTAAAATCAACCGAATGAGAAACCTATTACGATCTTCGTAATGAAACACAGCCTACGAAGGCTACAATGATCTACGACTTGGACTCGAAGCCGAAGAAACGTTCGAAGAAACGCTCGATGAATTAAACCGCGAATCATAATGCCGCGGTTCCAGCGAAATAATTGCGTCGACATACGGGAAGACTATTTGACTTTTTGCTGTACATACTTCGTTAACAATCGTGCCGTTCGCGGAAATAGATGCTTCGCGAACTCGAAGAAGTAAAATCAACCGGATGAAAAAAAAACATATCACGATCTTCGAAACGAAGTAACGTATGAACGTTACGAAGAATGACGTAAGGACTTGGGCTCCTGAGCGAAAGAAACGTTCGAAGAAACGGTTGATGAATTAAACCGCGAATCATAATGCCGCGGTTCCAGCGAAATAATGAATCGGCCGCGCAACGTTGCCCAACATTGTTACTAAACCGTCGAACACGCAGGTGTGCATCGTAAGAACGACGCCTCGCGACCATGGCTTCCGGTATTTAATGAAAACGCAACGACTCCACGGAGGCAGAACTGGGTTAGATTTTTAATCGTGCCGGTGCGGCGCGGCGTTGCCTTCGGAATACATTTTCCTCGCGTGCGCCGATGATTCAGGCAGCCGTCGATCTTTTTCTCCGGCCACGATGATCCTGGAATTGAACCGCGCGAGTCGGCCGGCCGATTGGCCCGAGCGGAATAAAAATCGAACAGAAGGCGTGCTGCGCGTCTGCCGTGTGCTGCGTGTGTGCACGAGCCCCGCATCGCTTATGAGAATCCTCGGCGTCTCGGTTAAATGAATGTGTTACACCTCTCGCTCGTTCTCTCCCGGGGTTCATTCACTTGCGACGGAGCCTCCGCGCCTGTTCTCCTCTCTTTCTCGGCCGTGTGCGCGCTCCTTATGTCAGCCCGGAGGCAGCTCGCGAAACCCGGCTGCAAGAAATTCCTCCGGTGCACGCGTAATCCGTGTGCACGCACGCCTTTTGCGTGCTGCAAGCACGGAGAAAACGATCCGGGCTGTCGTGTCGTGGCAGCCTCAACAGCGGAGCTATGCGGCCACGGCCGCACGGTTCTTTCGTCCGGTCCCGCGGAAAAATTAATTAGAATATTCTAATTAAAGCGGGGCCGATGATCGGCGACCACCTCGAAGACACGGCGTACCTGCACGAGACACTTGTCTCGCTCCGTGATTTCTTGCGGCAGCGATGTGATTGTGCTGTTACATTCCTCAGCTTTGGTCGACTTGCACTGTTCAGAGAAAAAAACTCGGGATCGTGGTGCCAAGGGGAACACTGAAGAATCTTGTACAAAGAATTCTGTTATTGAAAGGAACAGGCGATTTGCACGATTCGATGAATTACATTTGTAGCAAGTTCGATCTGTGCAATAGTTTGTCCACCTCTCGCAAGTTAATAACTGGACCACGGATCATTATGCAAAATAAAAAATGTCTATCTTAATTGCAGCGAACTGAAGAAAAATAAAAGCTTGTTCCTTAATAGGTCCAATGCGAGGAAATAATGTAACAGCATCCTTAAAGTCGCGTTTCAACCATGCATTTTTGTCACAAACGCGTGGAATCCGCTGTCGGTTAATAGCCACGTTCATAAAAACCTTAAAAACCTTCCTTAAAATTGCAGTTTTAAAAGAAATTTGTTTATTCTTCTGTTACGTTTATTTTTTTAATAAAAAAGGAATGTAATGCGTCTTATTCGATAAACTAGAAGGTTAAGCATGCCCGAGAACGAGCCAAAGACACGGAAATCGGTCAGCCGAAATCATTGAGAAGTTTTCGGTCCTCGATCTAGTTTTGCATAAGAGATGTTACGGCTGTTCGTGTAGTTTCGTTTAGCTGTTACAATACTCCAGCCTCGGTGTACCGTAAACGTAAATGAATCGGAATTTATCGAAGCTGAATCGCGCGGTAAAGCACGGTTAATCTGGATTAATTAGAGGCCGAGATCGTTCGAATCGGGAGAAAGTACGGATTAACGGAACCAGATAGCCGAGATTTTGTTACAACGGCGAACAGACGAAGAAATAGTGGGACCTATTCGGTTTCGATTAATCCGAGGGCGAGGGAGAATAAAACGAAAGTCATTATTAAGCGGATTTCACCGTAATTGCACGCTTCCGACATTGAACACGAAGTAACCGAAGACTTGTTACATAAATCGGAAAACATCCGGCACTAAAAGTTAGGAGAAAAGTTTCGTGGATCGCGTGCGCGCTGCGTCGTTACGTAAACGCGACTCGCGAGAATTCCGCGCGGTTATTGTCGCCATTTTAGCGTCCTTCGGAGTACTCGGACCGGTCTATTTAGACGTTCCACGTTAGTACGAACATTATGGATCAGTTAACGCCTATCGAACTAAATTCAGAAGGCGAATTGCAATTGCATAGCGCGGACCAAATTAAATTCCAAGAACAGACAAAATTCAATTGGCAGAACAGACAAAATTCAATTGGCAGAAACCGGCAAAATTAGATTACAAAGCAGATCGATTTAAACGTAAAAACAGACGAAATTAAATTTCAAGAACGCTCTACGGAACTGTCTATTAGCGCGATTGCTCAAGGACCAGCCAATCGAATGAAACTGAAATTTAACTATTAACTCTTAATTCACGCCTATTAAATCGACTATTATAATATTATTAACATGTATCGTATAATCGTTCTTTAATATTATGTCAATAATAAGTGCAAACAGATAAAGAATAATAAGAAAAACTGTTTAATTTAATGAAACTAAAACAGCTAAGATTTAACTATATACAAACAATTTCGATGTTTTCCTGTTTTCAAAAATGCGATTCTCACTTTCACTGCAGTTGCAATAAGATTGCGAATTCTTTTGGCCAGCCGGCAATGATTGCATGCAAACATTGCGTTGCAAAATGCTTATGGCTTTTATGTTACATAGGTATAGGCTGTAGCTATAACGTCAAGCATTTAGAATGTTTCATTATTTGTCCAAAATTCGCTCTTAACGCCTTCAAAAATCGTGAATCGCCGAGTGACCAACGAAATCTCGATTTTTCTCCAAAAATGGTCGGTTTGAAGAGCAACGTGCTCGAAG